CACATATGACTGGTGGATTTCAAAACAACAAGACAGTGAGTATTCGACAGAAGATGATTACTATATGATCAAACTCTTGCGTTTAGGTTAAAGTTTCATCAGCTTTGGTTATGAAAGTGTTAAGGTATCTCTATTTCATGCCAATATGACTCTTCCTCAAGCTCTGAAGAAGGAAAAGCTGCCAAAACTTAAGCCACTGAACCTGTTTCTCTTGTAGTCTTGACAGTACCGAAATAGTTTTTTAACAACCTTGTGTCCGCTGATCAGAAAATCTCGGGTTCTCTGTGGTTATAAGGCTCAAATGAGAAAACCGATCTCATTCGCTGGAGAGCAACTTTTCATAGGAGTGTTAGTAATAATCCAAAAGTGAGATTTTAGGCTGCAGCTCCACGTCGCGGATTTTCGAAAAAGCCTTTTTTGACGTTGCTACAGGACGAGATTCTTGCGTTGCAGCGCGCATATTTATACCCGGACAGAGCTCTTTCTTTAGACTAATAGCAATCATTCGATAGCGTAATCGTTTCTGATTCCAACGATGTGCTTTATCCTGAAAAGACCGTTTCTCTGCTACGTAGCAGGTAAAATAAGTTGAATTCGCATGTGTTACCAAGGGAGTCCTTGGCCAGATCACGTGCACGCGCGTGAAGGCAGCCACGTTCGATGACGCGATGATCGTCGATTTTTCGGGCATATGAAAGCGTAGAGAAGCTATCGCGTCAGCAGTCCACGTCACCGCCTCACATACAGGCACGTGAATTGGCCCAAAACCCTCTTGCTCACACATGCGAGTTCAACCCATTTTACCTGCCTGCGCTACAGATAAACGGTTTCTACAGGATATAAGCACAGCGTTTAAATCAGAAACGATTACGATATCGAATATTGCTAGCGGTTCCAAAGGAAGAAGTCTGTCTAGGAGAAAATAAGCGCGTCTGCAACGCAAGAAATTTGCTCCGGTAGAGCAACGTCAATAAAAGGCTTACTTGAAAAACTGGCGACGTGAGGCTCTAGCCTGAAGTCTCAGCTTTCGAATGGTAATTAACACTTCTGTGGAAAGTTTCTCTCCAGCGATTGAGATCGGCTCTTCATTTGTTCCTCTCACAACTGAATAGTACCAGATTTCGGATATATTCGATCAACGTCGAGGTCAATCGATGGTCTGTTCTTGAAATATCTAAAAACTACTGTCGCGCCTAGAAGATTCACCACAATAACTTCACGAAGTCTTACTTTCTAGGTTTCGCTTGTGTCACTTACCTTGACGTACATTTTTCTTCCAGAATGCTCCAACTCCCTTCAGCACAGATTTTTCTTAAATGCCCTCTTCCATGTACGGTTCCAACGGGAGCGCTCTTGCAGATACGAGCTTATGTGCAAAGCAGATATGACAGGAGAATAATGTAATCAGCAACTGAGCTTCACGCATTCATTCATCAAACGCTTCAAGACGTTGACAAAATAAGTTTTGCCGTTTTGGATCCCACTGTAAATTCCACAACATCGGTCTGCTTATCGGAGAGAGACGTACCTGTATGAACTCTTGTTATGCTGATATTCATGCAGCAACGAAGATTTCACTTCATATCACGAACTGCTGTGGACACTCGACTCGATTCAATCCGACTCTGAAGAAGATGATGACGGCGAAATGTTGTCCGAGCGAAACTTATCACCAAGTGTCGAGTTAGACTGATAGTTTAAGAAGATACGATGATTTACACTGAGGTTAAAAGTCAGACATTAGAAGAATTACAATGAAGGGCCACTGGTCGGAGCAGGATTATAAGACAACTTGAATCCTGACAAAACAATCACTCGAAAGTGCTTGAAACCAGTGCTGGTCAAAATGAAACGTCCAATCCGTAATCTTCCACGCAATTGCTCCACTAAACATGAGGCAAGCTACTGGACTGAAGGTCAAACTTGTGCCACCCTGTTACTAGGAAAATCGTCAGATGCTACGCCAGTACAGAATATGCTTCCAAAAAATTGATAGACTTGAAACGCTAGCCTACCAGAGTCAACAAATATACATATCCTTGATGAAAACGTGTAACCTTCACTACAGATATGTGCATAAATGAAGCATATCGTATAAAAATCGGTGTTCAAAACCCAGTATTGTTTTTGACTCACTTTAATTGCACAGCACATTGTTTGTTATAGAACCTCCAACTTTTTTATGAAAATACACAAATGATGCATATCGAATAACGTCAGATGAACTCCCATTTACTATCAAAACTCATCAGATTTGCAAGAACTCATTCAAATCTTACTATGAATTTTTCACTGTCTGATGGCAGTTTATCTTGACAAGCTAATCACCAAAAAATCAATACTTATGAAAAGCAATGCTACCTATAATAAAGAACAATCAAAGGAGAGCCCTAAGTGCTCAAATGAGTATGCAAATATGATCATTCAATAGATAATATGCATAGATATCTAGATACAATACACGGAATCAATCACAGATGAATCAGTGAGAACCACAATAGTACGAAATTTCGACGGAAGTAACCATTAACTAGTGGCGCTTAACATTTGGGCGTTGAATAACTTCACTCTTGCACTACCAAATATGATTGTCGAATGTTGCACTGTCATTCTCCAAACATATGGCACGAAGAAATCTACAGTATTCTCATCTTCCACGTACCTAAACAGGATGCTCACAATAGTGTAAGAACAAAAAAGGATACACTATAAAATCTCTGTCACTTTTGAATGACACATAGAAAATAAATGACTAGACATGCTGCTGAGTATTTCTATTAAAAAAACGATGTAAAATAATAGGTTGGGTGAAAAGTTGGTGCCAGTTCTGACTTTTCAATATGATTTTTACGATGTAATTGCATGGTTTCGGTATTGAACGGAAACTATAGTAAACGAGAACTTTTTGAAACACATTGAAAGGAACCATAAAAAATACATCCTGAAGTCCAAGAAGATGCCAATCGTTATACTTAGCAAAGATTAAGCTATCGTAGTGTCAATTCACCGACCACGGAGGGATGGGATGACTGGTGTGAGACTGGACTGTGGATGAAACTTACGACTAATGAGTGTGATGCAGAGCATGCCACTAGACCACATATCCCCTCATTATACTTGATAGCTAGCATATTACAGAGGTGCAGCTTGGCATAACTTATAAATTAGTCATAGTAAGTTGAAAGATGATGTTAGGCAATTATGTAGACCCTCCAAAGGACTAATGGTATGATTTAAATTATTTAGAAAAACATAAATGCATTTCAGTGAGCCATTTAAAGGTCCATTTGAGCACTTTTAGAAGATCATCTTAACTAACAGAAAGATTCGCACACAGTCTTGAAGATCTCGCTGATAAAATTTTGTTGATCGCTTAGCACCTTATCTTGTATCTTTCGTGCTTTCATGTAAGAACAACTGAGAGGACACTTATCGATATCTCATGGTTTTGTATGAAGATGACCGATCATAACAAGACCATAATTTATAGTTGCGGATCCTACCACATCGTTCGTTTCGTCGCATTTGTCCTCCCGAAGGTGTTCGAAGATTTCACGCGTTTTCTGGCCTGGGCTTGAGGATTTGCCTTCTTCATATAAAAGGAGTCCGTTGGTCAAAACTATTCGCTTTGCAATATCGGAGATAGCCGAGAAGAAGTCCTCGGCATTCAGTTAATTGAATGTAGGAGAGTACTGCAGAGAGGATCAAACTGGAGCATCGTTTACCAGAGCAATTGCTTGTCAATTGTATTCCTGACTACTGCGCAACTCTACTTCGCGGAAAATCGATTAACCTTTTGGGAAAACTTGTTGACGTTCTCCTATACAAAAGATGACTCAGCACGCGTCTCCTGACCGTCTCCCTCTCAATGGCTTGCTAATTGCTTCCTCATTCAATCTAATGGACATCCAAGATAAGCGGTGAACTGTGCCGGAGAGCAACTCTGTTTTTGCGAGATGAAGGGAGAATGGAGGTAATCGCCTGACTATTAACTGTGTGGAAAGTGTCCCTGCCACTGTCACCAATTTTTTAGAAGCATTGTTTTCTCAAAAAAATTTCACATAAATACTATGATATTTAGGTTTGCTTGAAAAAGACGTCAAAAATCAATGAGCCATTAAGATGCTCTAGACTCAGCTCAGGTGTTTTTATGATACCAGTAGAAAAAATTAGAATTCGAGGACTTTTTTCAGATTTCTGAACTACAACATTGTCTGAACATTGTCTATGAATCAAAACTTTACAAAATCAGAATTAATACCTCTTTAAAGTTGATAATTATATTTAAACATTGACGATAATATGTTGATACAGAAAATTACTTATAGTAAAACGTTGGCCACCTGAATCGCAGTTCAGGGAATTTGGTTAGTCGATCTGTTGGCAAAACTACCGCCTCTTTTTCGATGACTTCCATCATAGCACCACCGTCACCAGCCTTCACATGCACTACCTTTGAGGAAAAATGTGAAATGACGAGCATTATGTTTTGAGTAGATCCTAAAATAGAGCCGACGTGATGCTCATATCCAACAAACCTACGGCAAACTGCAATGTAGTAGCAAATTAGCCTAAAATTGGGTCATCGCGTACCTGAAACATTGGATGGTGTTGATATGAGTCGAAAAGACAACGATGATACAAAAGCGTGTAGATGAGATGAGGATTGTTGCGGAGATTTGCGCAAAGGGCGCTGTTGATGATTTCCAAAAGTGTCCGAATTTCCTCTTCTAGAGGCCGTGATGTCATCGTGCTGAAATGAACAAAATATGGGCACCAATATATCTTAGAAACCGGCACATTCACTTCGGGGACAATAAACGCATTCTTGCAAACTTCTCAGCTAACAAGAAGATGAAGATGTCTAAACGTTAGCTGAATGAATTTCGTTATCAACCTCGTCTAAGCTGAGAGATTTCCAAGGAATATGGATACCAGAAATGACTATCTAATAAAAATTGAACACTTGTGACAGGAAGAATGAGTGGTCGGGCAAATGAGCCTCGGTGGTGTAGTCGTAGAGCACGCGTTCCCGGATAGGATGTAGCACGGGTTTCGATTCCCGCCTGAGGCCGTGTTTTCGCTCAACACTCAATTCTCACAAGTGTATAAGTAACATCATAACACTACGAAAAAAAAGCAGTGAAAATACTGGAATTTCGAAAATTGAACACTTATCACAATGACTTAGAAATAAATACTAAGTGATTACAACCTGACATAGCACAAGGACTTTTGATCGGCGGGCTCTTGCTCGGAACTAAGGCGCATCTTGCTCTACCATTCACATGGCGTTTCGTCAACAACTGCAATGACAAGCGAAACAATGGATTAAACAGTGAAAAGAAAATAAAATTATGAACGTACTTCCAAGAGAGACACTAATTTCTGAACAAACAGTAGGCGAAAGGTTTTTGAAGCAAGATGACATATTTGCAAGGGCAGCCAGACAATTTGTATGCAAGTAGCGATCCTAAATAAAGGTTTATTGTATAATTGCACCTCAAAATCCCGAACAGTGAAAGTTATATTTATGATGATCTGGACTGACAGATGACATGAGGAGAACAAAACAACTGACTCTCGTCCTTATTGCATTCTTGTGAACCGTACGCACAAAAACCATAACACAAAGACCACCGAGGGATATTTCTCTTATAGGGCGATCGTTATCAAGCCAGCAAACATCATTTATCATCTGAATGATCAACACAATAGGGCCGACATTTAAGCAATATTGAAATCGTAAAACTCACAGTTTCATGGATGATTTTACAAGAAAAGTCGTCTTCACTGAGAATGCAGCATCACTATTCAGAGCAAGGTACATGTGATGCGAATTTGAAGACAACGAAGCAACGCCGTCATGAAGAATTCTCAGCACGGGTAAGACCTATTAACAGAAACAATAAGAGTTCGAACCAGTTAAGAATCTGATTGGTCTGCTTGATATGAAATACCTAGGTAGAATTAAAATGACACAAATGGTTTTTTTTTCTGAAAAACAAGCAATTATGAAGGCTAGGTAATAGACTAGATAGAATCGCATAAAGGCAAGATTTTACATAGAAACTCATGCTGCTTAGAAAACCAATCAAAGTTGTACCACGTTAGTTGCAAAAATAAAGATTGTGGTCCATTCGTGCACATAGTTGAAAGCTACGGCATCCCCAGGAAAAAAGAAACCGAAAGAAAGTACCTTTATTTTCGACCGTCTTATATAGGCCTTGTTCAAACAATAATCATCTGACAATCTGATAACATGTTTTGAGCCTTTTTATGAGATCTGCTATGGCACTCATACAGTGATGGACAACTGTTTCGCCTTAACAGGCTCATCAGTATCACGGTGCCTTTCGGTCAGTCGATCCATTGCAGGAACATACCCCTATAGACCTCGTAAAGGCTCAAAACATGATATCAGATTGTCAGATTATTATTGTTCTTGAGCAACGACAATATAAACAGCCGAAAGTAAAGGTATCATTCATTCTACCAGCCATTGAGCGCTCGACCGTGGTCACGCAATGTCGAGGATTATGCCAATCGACATGCGGTGATTTACAAAAGTCAGCGTCGATTCACTTATAAAGTAGTGGTGTAATTACTGCAAAGGGATCGACTGAACCGAAAGGTGCCAGTGTTACTGATGACCTGCAAGGGCGAAACAGCAGGTGTCTATTATGTATAAGTGCCCTACAAAACCCTTATGAACGGCTCAAACATGCTATCAGATTATCAGAAAGAAAGTAGCATCCGATTCGATTTCTCATTAACGTTAAGTTTGCCCCTCAATGATTAGCTCCCTCTGATCCCGGAAGTGTTCCCGGGTGTTGACTGCGGTAGGTGGATCACTTCCACTAGTGGAGGAGCCCTATAGCTAAAGTGCACAATCTTGTTCCACATTTTTTTTCAAGACATTTTCAACTCGAAATAACTAATTAGGCATATACAGTCTTTGAAATGAAAATGTAGAAAATGTTTGTAGCCGTCTTTTCAGGTTTCTTACATCAGTTTCGCTTTTCAAAAACTTCAGAGAGCATTCCCAAAGACCTGTACATTTTCATCGAGGTTTGAAGTAACACTCAAATAAAGAATGCATTTCAGGCAGAGTATTCTTTCAACTTATCTTAGTAGCCTACAACAGTAGTTTCATAAGAGCTGTGTGGAGTATGGTACTGGAAGGGGTGAGGAACATTATCTCGAGCTATTCAACTAGAAGGAAACACGTAAGGACGTAAAACTAAAGCTGAAGTAGTTGCAGAGGATGAAGCAATAGATAATTTTCGTACTAAAGTAACTGTTTATAGGATCGATGGAACAAAGTCTGTCTAAGATCTATGAGGCCAGACTGTAAAAGTAAAGATAAAATTTAAACACAAATTTTCAAAATATCATTGAGTTTTCGATGAGGTGGACATCGCATGCAATACCCTCAATTACTTTTGCTGAACTATTTATCTCTCTTGCAACTTTCAATCGCCATGATGACTTTGTACTGCTACATGGAATGTGAAGAAATCAAAACTGAAGGATTTCTGGTGTAATATCCGATTTCAGAAGTACAAATAAGATATGCTCGATTTGTTTGACGATTTATGGCAAAGCACATAGATGGATTGCTGACGATATAACAAATGAGTAGAGAATGTGACTGAGATTTGAATAAATACAAGATAGCACGAAATGTCCATAACAGTTAAAAAATGACCTCTTCGAAGGTTTCGAAGGAACCTTTTTCTTTGAGAAAATCGGGGTTATACATCAGGGCGGTGGAGATGTTTCTACTAGCAATAGCCTAATCGAAGTCTCTTCTATCATATTTTACCACCGCTGACGATCAAATCCCTTAATGATAGTAAAATCTAAATTCAATCAAAAAACTACCATATTGTAATTGGAGCGCGTCCCGCCCACTCGACGATAGCGTCGCTTGCTAAGCGAAATATCATGCGCGAGAAGCCAAGGGTTAATATCGAAGAGCGCCTCCAGAATTTAACTCCGAGACGTGGCGTGATGACTAATATAAGACACCAGACGCGACGTTCCGCAGCGTGCACCATATTGGACTGCGTGACACAAAAGGTTAAGTAACTTCAAATGCTATTTTGAATTTATGGCAGGTGATTACGATTCTCTAGAGTTCAAACGCAGTTTGCACCACATAGAATTTCATATCACAGGGAAAAAAAACTGGAAACCAGGTTCGATTTAGTTTGCGCAAAAACAGGAACACCTTCAAGGACGCGTAACCCAAATTGCATGTTATTTTTACAAAGAATTGTACCAGAAACCAAAGTTTTCCTCTAAGTTCAACGTTCGTACAACGATATGGGTCTCGTGAGTGACAAAATGATGCACTCAAGAGTTTCCACATATCATAAAACATGTGGTAGTATTTCTCTACGTACTTTCAGGAAAGTAGTAAAACGAAGAACAAAAGATTGAAACTTACGAGATTTTCCAGATTTATCCTCGACAACACAAAGTTCTTGAAGCCAGAGTTGCGACGAAGTAATAAATACAGTAGTAGCATAGGTGGTTCTTGACATGCAGTGGCACAAAGTCTTTCATACAACGAGTTGTAATCTAGTTTGAAGTGACCTTTTCCGCAACAAGACTGGACACTTCTAAAGAGATTCTTTTCCACTAGTATTCATAAACATGAAAAGAGACATGCTCACCTTGTGAATTTTGAAACAGAGCCAAAGTTTCCTTGAACGGATTACAACCCTTGGCTGGGTGATGAAAGCAAGGTTTAGTAACAGAAGAATGCTTAAGCTACCCATGTTAGCGGATACTAAATGGATGTTTACATCTTAGTACGGAGTTATGAAAAGAAGCGGCGTGATACAATATGATGCAAACTATAGCGACAGAACTCAGAAACTGAAATGATCAGCCCTTTCAGTACCGCGTTGACTGCTTCACCAGGGACGCGTTAGTATTACGACAGGTTTCATGACAAACCTCAGGACTTCGTTGCCACTAAGGGGTTTTGCTATTAATGAAAGGAGATGAGAACACTCAAAAGACTACAAAAAGGCTATCGGTAATTGAAAACACCAATGCTTGCTAATGAAAGTAAATCGTTTCAAGTGTGTTTATCCGGGGCAAATGAAGAAACGACTTCTTCAACTAGACAAGAACTTTTCACAACAGTGTTAGTAATCACTCAAAAAATTAATCTTCGCTACTACAATACGTGTACCTTAATTTGAAAATCCTTTTTATATGATGCTCTAGCAGGACGATAAGATGTCCTTCATAAGCGTCATTTTTCTCGCAGGATAGAACCTTCACGTAAATCATAAGTAACCAAATATGCGTAGTTTCAAAGATTCAAGCGCTGTGCTCAGTTTCGAAATGACCGTTTCACTGAAGTGCAGCGAGAAAATGAGATCGAGTTCCGCATACGCGACGCATCTGTTTGTAGGATTGTGTGTGTGGGCTGAGAGTCTGCTGGCGTGGATTCGCTAAGGCGTTCCGCAATCAATCGATCAACCACGTTAGCGACTCACACGTGTACTGCAAATTTTGATATTTGATTTGGGTTTTATGTCGCTACTGAAGAAAATCGTGATAAAACGTATGATTCTGATACCACAAGATTTCCTCTACACGATCAAATGCTTTTAGTGCTTCCAGAGAAGTAATAGTAAAAGCGTGCTAACAGCTGCGAAACATTATTTCATCCTGAATGCTACTGTGTTGCAAAAAAAATCTTTTCAAAAAATGGCCACGTAGTGTAGTAGCCAGAGATTTGAGTTTTCGAATGATAACTAACCTTTCATGAAAATTTCTTATCCAGCGAAAGGGATCATTTCTTCGTTTGTTCCACGATAACATACTTGTGCCAATAAATCTATTAACGATATAACATGTTTTGAGCCACTAGGTCTAGTGCTACACAGGCGCCTGTTTCTTTCTATTGAAACTCAACAGTAGCACACTCCTTCGGTTCAAGCTCTCCCCTGAAGCTAAATAACTTTTCTGTAAAGGTGCTGTATAGCACTAGACCTAACGGCTCAAAACATGTTACATCCTTATCAGATTGTATGTTTTTGGAGGGTC